GTATGCCTCCTCACTGTCTTTGATCTTGATCTTCAGTTGCTTCTGTATACTCCTCAGTAATACCCTGTCTCCTTCCTTGAAGGCTCTTTTTTTCTCATTTAGCAGATTCTTCAGTTCACTGGTGATGCAGGGTTTGTTATTAGCGAAGCATCTCACTCTTCTGGTGGGTATGATGTTGTCCACACAGAAGTTTATATAGTCAGTGACACATCAAGTCATGGCATTGATGCCCTCTTCATATCCTTGGCAGAGAGTCATCCAATCTGTGGTCTCAAAACAACCCTGCGGGGCATCTTCTTCAGCATCCTGTGACCAATTTCTCACAGTTCATCTTGTCACAAGTTGCCTCTGAACAAGTGGTTTGTATTTTGAGAAATGAAAAACAAGATTGTGTTCTGATTGTCCCAGAGGAGGTCTTGTTTAGGACATGTATGCATTCTTTACATTTGCATAACACAAAGCCAATGTCTTGTTTTCTCTGGTGGAGCAGCTAACAAACTGTTAGAAGGTTGGAAGTGTAGCAGAGAGCGAGGCATGATTAAAATCACTAGATAATAATAATAATAATAATAATAATAATAATAATAATACATTTTATTTCAACAGCACCTTTCTGAACACTCAAGGACACTTTACAGAGATAAAATACCCAACAATAAAAGATAAAACAGCATAAAACAAACAGACAGATTGGAGCAAAGAGAGTAACTATTGGAATGCTAGACGGAACAGGTGGGTTTTGAGTCTGGTTTTAAAGAGAGTGAGGGAATCAATGTTATGGAGGTCAGGAGGGAGGGAGTTCCAGAGATGGGGAGCAGAGCGACTGAAGGCCCTGCTCCCCATAGTGACCAGACGGAAAGGTGGGACAGAGAGGTGGATGGAGGACCTGAGGGAACGGGTGGAGGTTGAAGGATGAAGGAGGTCTGAGAGGTACGGGGGAGCAAGGTTATGGATGGCTTTGAATGTATATAGCAGAATTTTGAATTGGATTCTGGAAGTGACTGGGAGCCAGTGGAGCTGCTGAAGAACAGGGGTGATGTGGTGGAAGGAGGGAGTTCTGGAAATGATGCGGGCTGCCGAGTTCTGGAGAAGTTGGAGTTTATGGAGGGATTTGTGAGGAAGACCGAAGAGAAGAGCGTTGCAGTAGTAATTACGGGAAGTGATGAGGCTGTGGACAAGGATGGCCACCGAGTGAGTAGTGAGGGAGGGGCGTAGGCGGTTAACGCTACGTAGATGGAAGTAGGCAGACCGGGTAATATTGTTTATGTGGGACTGGAAGGATAGTGAGGAGTCGAGGATGACACCCAGACTCTTGACCTAAGGGGAGGGGGAAACTAAGGAGTTGTCGACAGGAACTGTAAAGCAGTGGATTTTGGATACTAAAGATTTAGTGCCGACAAGTAACATTTCTGTTTTATCACTGTTGAGTTTGAGAAAGTTTGATGTGAACCAGTCTTTGATTTCAGATAAACAATTGGTGAGGGAGGAAGGAGGAAGTGAAGAGGAGGGTTTGGAGGATACATAGAGCTGAGTGTCATCCGCGGAACAATGAAAATGAATGCCAAATTTACGGAAAATATTTCCCAGGGGAAGAAGGTATGATGAAAAGGAGTGGACTGAGAACAGAGCCTTGGGGGACGCCAGTAGTGACAGGGAAGGGACGGGAAGTGAAGGATTTTAGTTGAATAAACCGAGTACGGCCAGAGAGATATGAACGGAACCAATCAAGTGGGGTATGAGAAATGCCCAGGGAAGACAATCTATGGAGGAGGATGGTGTGAGAGATGGTATCGAAGGCTGAACTCAAGTCGAGGAGGATGAGAATGGAGAGCAGTCCAGTATCAGCAGCAGTGAGGAGATTGTTAGTGATTTTTATGAGTGCAGTTTCTGTATTGTGGCCAGGACGAAAACCAGACTGGAAGGGCTCATAGAGGCTATTGAGGGTGAGATGAGCATGGAGTTGAGCAGAGATTATTTTTTCAAGGATTTTTGAAAGAAAGGGAAGATTTGAGATGGGACGAAGATTATTGAAATTATTGGGATCGGTGCCGGGTTTCTTTAATATTGGAGTAATGGATGCAGTTTTGAAAAGTGAGGGAACAATACCGGTAGAGAGGGAGGAGTGGATTATGGCGGTTATGAGAGGGAGAAGGGAGGTGGGACATGTTTTAACCAAAACTGTAGGGGGGGGGGGGGGGGGGGGTCGAGAGAGCAGGTGGTGGGCTTGGATTTACAGATAAGGTCAGATATTTCGGATGAGGTGGGAAGAAGAAAGGAACAAAATGACTGGACTGGTGAAAAAATCTCAGGGGGAGGGGAAGAACTTGGAATTAATTGCTGGTGTATGGAAGCAATTTTCTGAGTGAAGAAGGTTATTAAAGAGTTACATGAGTCAGCAGAATACCGGTGGGGGGGGGGGGGTAGAGAGTCCGGGTGATGAAAAATATTACGCATTATTGAGAACAGAGTCCTGGAGTTGCCTTCATTGGAGGAAACCAATCCAGAGTAGATAGCAGACATAGCCACAAATGCATTGGGGTGCTGGGTTTGTAGCTTAGTGACAACGGAACTGATGGCATCACATGCATTTTCAGCAATGGCTGAAGGTGGAGTATAAACGGTTGCCAAGACAACACTGGTGAACTCTCTTGTCAAATAATATGGGCGACAATTTACTGCCAAGTGTTCAACATCTGGGCTGCAGAGACCACATTTCACTGAAACATGACCTGGATGGCACCATCTGTTGTTGATAAGCACTGCCACTCCACCTCCTTTTCTTTTCCCTCTCCTCTTCAGATCTCTGTCTGCTCGTACAGTCAGGAATCCTGGCAGAGAGATGCTCGAATCGGGGATATGGTCCTGCAGCCACGTCTCAGTGAAACACATAACACTGCACTGCTGATACTCTGGCTGAGTCCTTGATAGGGCTTGGAGTTCATCCATCTTGTTGGCCAGTGATCTCGCATTGCCCATTATCATAGATGGAAGAGATGGTTTGAATTTCCTCTTTCTCTGTCTCCGTTTTGCTCCCGCTCTGCACCCACGCTTCTTGCGTTTTAGTTCATTTAGGATTTGTGATTACAGTTGAGGTATTATTTCAGCCTTTCCAATGTTAATCAGCTGCTCCCGATTGTAAACCAGCTTGTTGCCATGGTTATGCATCATAACAAAAGCTCAAAAAGTGAAAAAGTAGCAGTAAAAATCCTCCAAGCTTCACAGCACCAGAAACAGAAAAGTAAAATGTCCCAAAAATACTATTTTTCTTGAGAAACTAGAAGAAAAAATGTCTAAGAAAAGGCAAAACTTAAATATAGTCAACAGAGCTACTCCAACATGCAGCCACCCAGAGCAGCACAGTTCCGGAATGGGGTGTTTCATGCTTAGTGTTGCTTTAGTTTCTCCTCTCTCATCCCCAGACTATCCAAACAGCCTTTTTTAGATGCGAGTTTAGATCCTCTTGGAGATACAAAACCTTGCTGAAATGTATTTTTCTACTGTGAACTAAAGTTTGTTTTGAGCCAAATAAAACATAAACCAATGGTGTCTACTGCTTATATGAAACCTTATATAGCACGTTTTTCATCTTTTCAAAAAAAGTAGACTCTGCTTTAAAAGTAATATGAAGATGTACTTTTTGGGTAAACGCTCATTATCACCTGCTGTTGGCAAAGGTAAGGCAGCAACCATTAGGCCGACTTTAATTAAACTTCCGGGATTGAATCATTGGATGGACTTCTACAGCTGGTTAGATTTTGGAGTCAAATCGATTCAATATGTCTGCTCTAGATAATTAAAGAGCAAATCACCCCTACCAGAGTCTTATTCCACTCCCACTTCCTGTTTGAAAAATGCAACAAACGCTGTTGCCTGGCAGACCAACTGGGTGGAGGCACTAACACACACACACACACACACTCACAGGCTCACAACATCATTGTGACATCATATGGTACCAGTTTACATCATAGGGTACCACTTAGCCAATAGTAATGGCAGAATTAAATTCAAATGCAATGCAACGTTTTTACCTGAAGAAGGCACAGCACTGACAGTTTTGGGCAGAAATTTTTAATTTTGACTAAAATTCACTAAAGTGCCAAATTACTGACTGCACATGTCTACAGCATGATTGGACACTCATTTATATAGTTTATCAGCAAAAATAAATTGATTTGGGGGTGACTTGCTCGTTAACCTCAACCTTAAGTTTGTCTATAGGCCTACATCCCAGCTAACTAAAACTACCAGCTTCACACAGCTGTCCATTTCTTCTTCTTCTTTCTCCTTCAGTCTCAAATCCTGCCACTGGTTTTGGGGTCCAACTTGACTCTGAGTTGTCTCTGGTACCACAAGTAAATGCAACCAATAAGTCCTATTTCTTTGCTGCCTAACACAGCTTAAATCCACCCTTTAAAAAAAACATTTTAGTTGATTTTATGGGGTGACATTTAATATTCCCAAAAAATTGGGGGGGGGGGGGGGGGGGGTTCCAGTTTTTAGGTTTTTTGCTTGGACAAAAATAACATGTTTAAGTGCAATGATTTCCTGTATGGCTTCAATAGTGACTCTTCTCTGCTTTTATAGCAGCTGGTTTATTATAGAAATATAAAAATGGAATCTTTGGAAGCATTTCTTTAATACATTTTCTTAAGTAGGCAATTCAGTTGTAGTCAGTATTGATTAGTGTGATAAATGGAAGTTTTATTCAACTTTGAACTGTACAAATCTGTTAGCATCCCATAAATGTAAAATCAAACGACCTGCAGAGCAAAATCTTAATGTTGTTGCTACAGTTGGTCTAGATTTCCAGCCTAAAACTCTGTCACTGTCTGATAGAAGTCCCCCTGCTCTCCTTTTAAAATGTGAACTCTGAAATGATCATATTTTGTTAAAAATAAAACCAGAATTTCAATAAGATTCAGATTTTTCGGGTCCTTTTATAATCCCTAGCAGCAATGTGGACCTAATGTCCCGCTAACAAAACCACATGTTCATGACACATTTTGTCATGTTTGCTTTATTTTTCATAACTTCAGCATCTGTCATGCCATTTCCATGCCAGACTCAGCAATTTCACAAAGAAAAGCCAAAGCTGTAACAAACACAGTCACTCAATAAATGAACAATTTTAGCAAAAACATGCGCACACAAAGCTGTCGATCATTTAACACATTTTTTTCTCACAAATTACCACCATGAGGCACTGCAATACATTCACAAAACGTCTGATTTTAATACAAAATGTGGATGAACCCTGTTTACCAATATCTGTCAGGACATTTTGTATCAGTGAAGAATACAGCTCATGTTCTGCACATACATTTAGGATTTAATGCAACTTTGCATGCTTATTCTGCATGTTTCCAATCAGGTTGAATTTCACTCTTACTGTAACAAGTTAGTCTGCATAGGACTGGTCGAAAATAAAAAGAGCAGGAGATAAAGGGCAATATTACTCTAGCAAAAGCAAGATAATAATATTAGTTTTAATAAATAGAGAGAGTGATGTTTTAGCAGATAAACCATCAATCTTTGTCGACCAATACACATAATAAAACAAGTCATAATTTAAGGTAAGATGCAGTTTTTGCATGAAATAAAACAACATAACAGAATGATACATTTGATTTTTTAAACTGGTTGTTTTCTTTCTTAAATAAATTATTTAAAATGTGCAAATATGTGCTCGTTATCAATGCATCTGAAGGCAACATCAAATATCTGACATCTCACATGCTGCTCTGATGAGTAACCATGGCAGAATATAATAAAGTAACTTGGCCATTTCTAAACCACATGAAAATATAAAGGAGTAACTGGGATCAATTAGATGTTGGGAGTAAATGTCCTGGTAAATTTGAGTGTTGTTGAAGAAGGCATGCTTTCCATTTTTTTTATTTTATTTTTATTGATGTAAGCATTAATTAGTAGTGTTTTCTCTCTTTAATCTTCCTACTTGTGGTTCGGTTGTTACAGCGTGCAGCCATAACCCTTTAACTCAGTCAACATAAAAACATCCTTGCTAAACAAATTTAAAGTCTTTACAAAAAATATATAAAAACCAACTTCAGTTGAAAATAACAGCAAAATTAGGAACTAATACACTCAACACCATTCATTCTAGACTTTCCTTTTTTATGGCTCCTTAAGGGCACTTATTGGTGCCCTCGGTGTCACCAGCGGATTTATAAAGCCATTTACTAAATGCCTGAATAATTTAACTCATTGCATTTAATAAAACCCCATTTATGCATGCCTGAAATCATAAATCTCTTTCTCTGAAAGAGTTAAAACGTCTGTGCGGCTTTATCTCACATTGATAAGAGTGGAAGAGCTTTGCTGCTTGCTATCGGATTTCTACTGGAGGATTCAGAATCTGAGAGCCCTTATGATTACGATTGGAAGGAAAAGTTTTATGGAAGCTCAAAGATGGGGATCTAATCACATAGCTTCAAGGTGTGGAACACTAAAAAACATTTTCCAATTATTATTTCTAATTATAATTGTAAACAGAGTTTTTCATGCAGGCTCAGCATGAAAATGGTCTCCAACACCTATCTCCTGCATTAGCCGCCAATATATAATAGACGATGAAGCTCTAGGATTAGAAAATCCTGACAGAGCTATGTCACACTGTCACTCGACGTTCATGGACTGGCCCATCTTGACTTGTGACAGAGAAGGCTGTTGTTGGTTTAGCGTCCAGCAAACAGCAGTAGAACTGTTAGCTTTAGCAACTCCACCACATGACAGAGCTCCTCCAGAATTGAGTTACTTGTGGAGATAAATCATTAACGCTGCAGAGCAAATATCAGGAAATAAAACACCATGTCCTGCCCTCTGAAGCCACTTTCTCCTCCAGCTGACTTGTAGCACCTGAAACAGGTGCGTCTGAGATCCCCCACCCCGAGTACAACTTACAAGGCATTCATTTCTACTAGAGACCCAAATGAATTGATGAAATGAGCTAACCTTGTTTTTAAAATGCTTCTGCTCTGGGAATTGAACAATAATTACTGTTTCATTTAATGTCTAAATTTGCATTGCTGTCTTGTAGAAGCCCTTATAAACAAGCCATTTTATAACTTTTAAAATCAAAAGTGAAACAAAATCCTTCCTAGGACTGCTACAGTCTGGGATTGTGGTGAGTTCACCCACTAACCGTGTTATTTACATGACACAATACATCAATTTAATATAGCGGGAAACTATAATGTTCTTTTTTTGTGCGAAAAGAGATAATTGATAATCCAAAATAAAGGCAGGGTTGCAAACATTGAGGTACAAACTTGAAGACAAAATTCTCCCAGAGAGTTCGTAGTTTAGAAAACGAAACCGTGCCCTTCTCAAAAGTCCCTTTATGTCTGAAGGTAATATCTTAGACTTTAGTTGGAACTAAATAAATGAAGCTCCTGCTGATTACAGTCACTGCTGGTTTTGTGAGTAGAGTTCATTTGACAAAGTTCTACAACTGACCATCATCGTGTCAAAAATCTTCTCTTTCTCCGAGCATGTCCCCCTGCCTCACCCATAGTCCTGCCAACTGACTTCTGGAAGAATGTCTTCACTGGCTCACAGGTGTGGAAGGTGACATTGGCACAGTTGGTGTGGTGGGACTGGTAGGAGTCTGTGGTGAACTCTGGTAGGATCGAAGTATGACTTTGTGCTTGGTGGCCCCCTCCTCTCGCCTGCGCTGCTGGTCGGCCAAGAATTCCTTGAGACGGGTGGTTGTAAAGGTAAGAGTCTGCCTACGAAGGCGCATCAGGTATGCATCCTGTAGCCAGGCATTGCTGAAACAGTCCTTGATGGAGGGACGAGCCCTGGTAAACAAAATAAACAAAGGCTCACATATTTGATCTCCAGGTCACCTAAATAGATACCTTAGTTTTGCTAAGCGGGGAATATCTTGTACATGGTAGAAAGCAGTCAGAGTGATCTCAATTTGGAGAATCAGGAATAAACTCCTATGGAAGAGTAAAGCTGGGTCCACACTGAGGGCATCAGAGTCGCGGAAAGTCGCTACTTAAAATAGAATCCATAGCAGGGTTTCCCAAACGTGGTCCTCGAGACCACTGTCCTGCATGTTTTCCATGTCTCTGCTTCAGCGCACCTCATGTACACATTTGCATTGCTTCCTGAGGAAGACATCAAGTGTTGCAGATGCTGGTAATCACTCATTAATTCAAGTCAGGTGTGTGGCAGGAGGAAAACACTGGTGTTTGAAAGGGCAACATGGAAAACATGCAGGACACGGGGTCCCAAGGACCGGGGTTGGGTTACACTGGTCTGTAGAGTTGATCCAAAACTGCCCGTGGCATGGAACATTTCAGGCGCATTCCAGAAGTAGCTCATCACGCCGCTTCTGGGTAGTGATGTGATGTTCATGGACGAAGCAAATCTTTTGAATGTATCTTTAAAGTAAACTACGAGAGCCGAGTCCTTGAAGAGGACCATTCAAAATGTCTCCCAGTAATGAACACGTCCGATGCCATCGTCCATGAAATGTCTTTGATGACTTTTTGAATAAAAACTATTGTAAGAACAGTCTTGTTTTGAAAAATTGTAAAGGAATGCTTAAGGCTTTGTACCTAGACAATGATTCTATAGCTCAACTTACCAAGGGTAGCTGCAGAGGATTTTTTTCAAGAATAACGAGGCACTTTGGGACACATTCTGGTAAAGTTTAGAGAGGTCAAACTTTGCTGCCAGTATCCTGGATTCAGTCTCCTCAGGATCATTTTCCATGAAAGGTGATCTGCCACTGAGCCTAGAAAACCAGGAACGACAAGTCTTATTTAAGGTAAAAAAAAATACATAAACCTTGCTTTATTTATGATTTTTACTGTGAATTAGGTCAACACAACATAAACAAGTTAATTAGTGGTAAAAATATATATATATAAAAATAGAAATTGGAAATCAAAATGAAAGAAAACTTCCTGGTAAGAGGCTCTGAAAGCAATACTCACGTGACGAAAGTCAGAACACCCACACTCCAGATATCAGCTGGAGGACCTACAACATCCCCTTTCAACATCTCTGGAGCTATGAGAAGAAAATGGATTGCTTTATTAAGAAACATCTTTATTTTTCAGGGAAAACCAAAGATCACCAAGGTCTCCTATCAATAAAACATACAATGTACTTTGCTTTACATTGTGTACTATATTTTTGTAGTGAATACCACATGTATACTGTACTAGTCGACTGGATTTCAGAGGGTGTGTAGGCAGATGAAACGTCAACAATAACCCTTACACATGTACTCCAGTGTTCCAATAGGGGGGCTGAACTGCTTGAGGAAAAGAGGGTTGTATGTCTGAGCGCTTCCTAAGTCAATTATCTTGATGAGGTTCATGTGGGTTACGATGACATTTTCTGGCTTGATGTCCAGGTGCAGGATGCGGCGAGCATGGAGGTAGTCCAGACCCTGGAGTATCTGCACGATATAAGTCACCACGTCATCCTCGGAGTAACGGAACCTGAGGCATGCCAGAAAACAATTAGGTAAATCACTCCAGGTAATATGTTGTAAAACATTTGTTCACTTTAGTGTTTAAGAAATTATTTATTGACTCTAACCAGCAACTCACCTCTCTATGAGGCTATGGAGCAGCTCCTTCCCACTGCAGTACTCAGAGATGAGCACCAAGTAGCGTGGTGTGACGTAGGCCTCATGTAGAGCCATGATCCTGTCATGATGGAGAGACTTAAGGATGTCATACTCCTGAAGCACCAACTGCTTGTTGTCTGCCTCATATGGAACAATCTTAGCCATGAAGAGGTTGCCTGTGGAATTCTCACGGCACTCTCGGATCACACCAAACCGACCCCTGTGTGAGAGAGAGAAATAGTCTTAGCGGGGAAAGAGATAAAAAAAAAGTTTTAGACGTTGCAGGTCTTAAACACTTTCTACTAATAATTGTTACCTAGCTTTCTCATCCATAAAAGTGTAAGGTTTCTGTGGAACTCCTTGCCGCAGTGATCCCTCCCCAGGCTTTCCCAGTGGTGTCCTGCGTCCTGAAGGCGTGAGTCGTCCAGATGGGGTGACTCGTCCAGATGGAGTACTGCGGCTGTCTCCTCCCTGTAGAACCGGGGTCAAGCTCTGCACCACAACGACGGGGGGAGAAAGGGTCACTGAGGGTGTTGTGGCAGCTGGAGCTGAAGCAACTTGAGAAGGTGGGGTAGCTTGAGCCGTCGGAGTTGGAACATACATTGGCACTGAGGAAATAGGTTTTCCAATGACTGAAGCAGATGTGGATACCGGAGATGGGGGCTTGTTTGTCATGGATGGGAATGTATGCACAGGACTCTGCAGTTTGGGTGGCACAACAGGCGGGGGTGCCAACTTTGTTTGAGGTTTGCTCATACTGATGTTAATTGTGGTCTTTGCTTTTGATGTAGTGACAGAGGTAGCACTAGTTGTCTGGACAGGAGGTTGTTCAGTGGAGGTCGGGGTAATGGACACAGCTACTGCAGGATGGCTGGCACTGAGTGGCTTAATGGTTAATGGAGAGGAAGATTTAGCCACACTGGCAGCAGGAACTGAAATTGATGGAGGGGCAGGTTGGGTAATTGTTATAGATTTGCTAGCAACTGGTTTGATGGGGGGCACTTTCATGGATGACATCAAAACTACAGGTGGAGGAGGAGAGGAAACAGTCTTGACCACCACAGCAGCACTGGATTTAACTGGTTCTGTTAGAAGTCAAAGATAAGAAGGATGCACATAAGAAACGTTGATCACATTGACGAAAGTGAGACTGCTGAACACTGGCGCCGCTATTTAGTTAAACATGAATGTGAACAAATGCTGTGAAAATGGTCACTCTCAAATGAACCTTTGTAAATCAGTGTGTTGAAAACACTCATACCCGTGGAATCAAGTTTTACAACCTCTGACAGGTTGCTGTAGGGACCCTGGCCTGCTTTGTTGACACAGGCCACTCTGAACCTGAAGGCTCCCCCTGCTGGTAAGTCAGCGACATTGTAGTAGCAATCTGCAACTCCAGTGGCTACAATTAGCCAGTTACTTTCACCTACAAAAAACAGGACACAGCGTACCCGATTAATGTATTTTAAATGAAACAGGAGTATGGTAGCTCAAAGATCTCATTTGTTGTAAAGTCTTACTATACGTATGTATATAGATGGTACACTCTTTCATTACATTCATATGTTTGAATACATGGAAAAAATTTTAAGAATACTGAAGAAACCTTCTGCTTTTCTCTCCAATGAGTATGTACAAGGGGCCAAGGTATCTGAGGGCCTCCACACCACCAAAGCTGTGGTATTGTATTTCTTAGGAATCTCTGGGGTACCGGGACGATTGGGCAGGCCTGCAAAACAAATAAAACCCACTTTGCTATTGCTTTGTCTTTTTTTTTTTCCTTATCTCAATTTCATCTATTTAAAGAAAATGTCCTTGTGCATACGGGCGAGTGATATTGTGCAAGAGCTGGACACAGAGGCCAGTGGATTTGTTGCTACACATTCGTAGACCCCAGCATCTTTCTTAGTGGTGTGCATTATCATCAACAGCTGCCGGCCGTCAGGACAGGAAATCATATTCATTCTGGCATCAATCTCCAGGGGCTTCTTGTCTGACAAGGAAAATGTGAATGCATATAAAACTCAAAAAATCTTAAAATGGTGCAAAATTCTATTTATTTTAGTTTAGACTGTGATACCATTTAAAGGCTCAGGAACCACTTACAGTTTAATTATTATAGTTGCAACAGCAAATCTAAAGAACAAGCTAGCTTTTAATCGCAAACACGGTCAAGGAAAACTCACCCCTTTTGCCTGGTATCATCCCTGAATCTGCATCCGACAAAACTGGAACCCTAACCCTAACCCGGAACGCCAGAGGAAACGAGAAAGTGCTAAATATCAGTCACCGTTTTCTAGGTCCAAACGCTTTTTATTGTCTGTAAATTCAAATGGTGTTTCCTTTTCGGGACTCTGGTGGTTTGTCCTTTTCTGATATTATTGAGCAGAGAACCTGTCACACCAGTGGTGTTCTGTTGCTAAATTCACTAGTGTGTAATGAGTGGAGGACCTAGGGAAGTGTGGCAGTTCAGTGAGACCGACAACCAGATGGTTCAATAGTTGCTTTCCGTCTGAGCTGTGTTGTTGTCTGAGGATTTTAGACAAATGTGAGAAAACCAATTCATTATTTTTTGTTTTGTTTCCAGTCTATAATAAAGCCATACTATGTTTGAACATTGTTAAACATGTTTTAAGCTAGCTTGTTTTGCAGATTTGCTATTCGAACAATATAAGAACTTTTTCTAAAATGACTATTTTCTGATTTTGTCAGTTTTTAACTTACCAACCCCACATCTACACCCTACAACTACAGTAAAACATACCTTTCACCCAGTTGATGTGTGGATGGGGACTTCCTGCAGGCAGACAGCTAAGTGTGACAGGATCACCCTCCAGAAGAACGTGATCTCTTAACTTGATATGAAATACTGGAGGAAAATCTGACAATTCAAAGAAATGATTCCAATTTAAAAACAGCGATACAGTTTAAATAATAATCTGCCATTGCTTTGCATATATTCAGTAAAGATTGGGACAATGAATGTGGGTTTATCGAGAAGTAAAACAGCAGTTTCACAGGCTACTTGCAAAATTGTTCTTTCAATGACTGATGATAAAGTACTCTTTGAGATGGTATCAATCATAGGTTACCTGAAGCCAATATGCAGTACTGGCGTGAGCGTGAGGAACTATTATCTCTTGAGATTGCTGTTGGTAAGTCAGGTTGTGATACCGTCTTATCTCGTTTCCCTCTTGTAAGGCCCCATCGATCCCAACGAGATCTACGTTCAACCTCCACTCCTTTCCATAAAAAGAAGTAGAGACCAGTTCATTAAGTTACATTGATACATAAAACAAGGTGATCAAATATGGATAAAAAACACAGTACTGCCTCATACCCTTTGATGTGTCTGATTTTAGACTTGACATTGAGTCTAGAGATTCCGATGAGGCCCCATTACTGGCCTGAGATGCCAGCTGGTTCTGGGGAATATTGGGAATCCTTGTGGGTCTTGTCTCTGATGTTGAACGACGAAGCAGTGAGAGAATGGGTGTTCTTTTTTGTTCCTTCTCTTCTGATGTTCTCCTCTCCTCTGAGTAACTACGGATTCTTGTGGATATCCCAGCCACAGTTGATTCAATCTTCCTTCGCATTGCCAGTACAGGTGATTCATTCAATTTCTTTAGCTCCTTTTCATCTGATTCCGCCATCCTGTCACCTTCTCCAGCCACTCTCATCTCCACATCTTTATTTTCCTGGGAACCTCTTCTGCCAAGAGTCCAAGAGAGTCTACGTCTACCAGCTGAGTCCCCTTCTTTTGGTATTTCATCCTTTCGCTCTGTTGATGGTGCTCTCTTTAACCTCATGGAAAGCCTTCTCATGAAGCCTTGATCTTTTTGAGCTTCACGGAGGTCTTGGACTGACTTGGACTTTTCCTCAAGCCTTTTTGATGCTAGTTCCAATGGAGCACCAATTGGCCCAGGCCTGTATATTTCTTCCAATTTCTCCATAGAGCTTGATAAAGAAGCTTGTGATCTGTCATCAGTCTTCGACCATGACAGAAATTTCAGACCTCTTGTTAGGGAAGATTCACGCTTTTTGAAGCGGGACTCAAATACTTCTTCAGAAGAGATATCTTCTAAGTCGGGTCCTGCAGATACCTCTTGTTGGGATGAGGACGGAGTAAATGTCTTTGGTGGACTGGGTTCTTTAATCACCATTTCTGGTGATGCTACTCTGGAGTAAACAGCAGGGTGCTCCGTGGTTGGCGCATCAGGCTTTGATGAACTTGGTGAATCAGATGGTGTGCTCATTGAAGGAGATGTAACTGCTACCACTATGGGTGTGGAGGGACCAATGGGTTGTTCACTTCCAGGCTGGACTGAAGGGACCATGATGGTCTGCATTATACTGGCATATGCAGACATTCTTCCATCTGGAAGAACAACTCGAGCAGGAGGTGAAGCAACATTACCAGAGGGTGAGAGATGGTCTTGTGATGGCTTCACCATAACTGAACTTGTGGTTATGGTCATCTCAGATGGCTTGATGGGGAAACTTGTTTTCTCTTCTGCATGTTTTTCAATGTCTTCTCTAACATATGGTTCAACTTCATGACTGACACGTTCCTCTTCTTTTCTAAACGTATCACTTTCTTCTTGCAAATGTCCTCTTTCTTGCTCCTCTTCCATTTTCTCCTCTTGATTAGATCTTTGGGTCAAATGAGAAGGTGTAGGAATTCTCTGACCCACATTATCCAATTCAGTTAATGGTTCCTCTGAAATACTCATGTCCTTCTCTGAGAATCCACTTGTGCTTGATCTTTCATCAAAATTACTATCGGCAGTCAACACTTCCATCTTTTCGTTTACAGACTCTTCCGGTTTTATCTCCTTTTCCATTAGTGAATCCTGACTCTCTGTCTTGGTTACACATTCCTGTACAGCACTTTCTGGAGTCGGGGGTTTTGGAGAAGGTTCCCTGGGGGTTTCAGGGCGGGAATCTAATTTGTTTGGCTCTGCAAGAGCTGACATAGATATAGCCTCTTTGAGTCTTCTTTCTTCAATCTTTGCCACAGGAATCTCCAGCGGTGCTCCTGACCGTCGATGTAAAGTGATTGGCTCTGAATCTCCCTGACTGAAAGAAGTACTTTTACGTAAAACTTTAGGTTTAGGTACTTCGTCTCTCGGGAAATCACTGGATGCAGCTCTTGTGAGTGGAGGTGGGCCCAGACGAGTGGTGCGAGAGTAGCGATCCGAGGGTATTGCTCGTTTTTCATCTCCCATTCCTAATGTTTCTAAAAGCGGTCCTCTCAGTCCACTCATCTTGTTGTCTACAGAACCACCGCGAAGCAGTCGCTGTCTCATCAGCTCCAGTTTAAGACCATAATCTTCTTGACTCATCTTGGCAGTTCCTGGGCTAGTACTCCTCCTAGGTAATTCCATAGAGACCGCTTTCTTCAGAACCCTTCGACCATCCTCATTGTTTTCCTCTGCAGTTCCTTCCTCAGGTGTGATCCGAAGCAGCAAAGCGCTGTCGGCTGAACCGCCACGTCTTAATTCTCCCCTACGCCGTCCCCCTTCTACTCTGTCTGAATCCATGCTTGATCCCCTTTTAAGTGGTTTTCTTGACATCTCTGACTTTTGGGGCAATTCAGCAGATGATTCTTCTGAAAAACCCTTGTCGTTATCTTCCGATGACCTTTTCTGAAGCCGGCCTTTACCTGCTCCTTCACCTCCTTCCTTATTAAGTTCTTTAGGGTCACACTCCATTGCCTCCTGGGCTTCAACAGGTGACCCACACCATTTTTGCTTTTCATTCTGCTTTCCTTCCTCCTGCTCATTGGTCTGTATTTCATTCAGGGACATTCTTGATCCAGAGAAGTCCATATTAAGTGGCATAGGAATAAAAGGCAGTTCATCAATGTCTTCATCAGAATCAGAGGATGATGATGGCAAAGGTGAACCTTCTTTCATGTGCCTTGGAACAGCGATAGAAGTGTGACTGGAGGAGTCATCCAGCAACTCCGGTATTGATCTCATGACCATTTTTGATTTGTAGCTGATTATGGAACGCTGAAATAAATTAAGCAACATAAATATTAAATCTCTAAATGTATTTTGTGTTATAAAACAAAAAACAAGTATCACATCCCTCACCTGCCATTTTCTGCGAGAAACAAACTTCTTCAGGGCGTCTGTAGGTAGAGACTTTCCTTTGCTTAGCACCTATACAATGAAAGGCATTCAAATGGGAACAATGAAGACTGGTACCTGCTTTGTCTAGTCAAGTAGAAATCATTAGGTAATCGCTGGCTTTTGCTTACCTTAAACCAAGGATGTCTGAGACATTCCCGAGAGTCAGGTCTCCTACAACAGAAAACGCTAAATTAGATGTTTGGGACATGAGGCAAGATGGTGCAGCATGGTCTTTTAACTCAATCTGAGTTTTTAATAATTTGCACACTGGTCGTTGCTGAAAATTCATGTGTTCAAGCTTGTTTTTGCATGACCTCCTGTTGATCCTCTTCTTCCTCACTAGCTGTGTGTCTTTTTCAGCATCCCATGATTACCTCTTAACTTTTTATGTACATTTTTCCATTTTTCCACTCATTTTTGTCACAATATTACTTAATCAGCAGTTCTACACTGCAGTCATCAAGTCCATCCTCACCTCTTCAATTACTGTGTGGTATGCTGGAGTTATCATCAGGGTCAAGAAGAAGCTCCAGCGTGTTGTATGCTCTGCTGAGAAGGTCATTGGCTGCAAACTCCCTTCCATACAGGACCTGTACACCTCTAGGACATTGAGGCGTTCAGGTCGAATAACTGCTGGCCCGTGTCACCCTCAACAGTCTTATTGACTCGCTCCCATCTGGCAGGAGGCCCAGACCCATTTATATGGCGCGGTATGGGGGCCAAAATTATGACTACTGCCCAGCAGCAGGAGGCTACATAAATTCCAAAGCAAACTACTGATCTGATTAATGATAAGCTGGCGCCGGTAACTGAGAGGCTGGCGCTGCTTACTGAGAAATAGCACTTTTACCGGCGTTACTAATAGATACGCTAGGGACTAGCAGCCCTCGGCTGGTCATTGACTGGTTCACACACTCCCTCTGCTGTCTATTAGCATGGATAGGCTAACGTTAGCCTGGACGGGCTGGTGTTAGCATTGGAGGGGCTTGCCATTAGCGTGCCTAGGCATTCCACTAGCTGGATTTTCTACGCCCTTGACGGACCTTAAGCATGGATAGGCTGGCATTAGCATAGGAGTGGCTAGCCATTAGCCTGTCTCGGAGAGTCACTAGTCAGCTAGTGGCCAGCCTAGGCACGCTAATGGCTAGCCTCTCCGATGCTAACGTCGGCCTATCCATGCTAATGGTCCGTCAAGGGGGTAGGAAATCCAGCTAGTGGCCAGCATAGGCACGCTAATGGCTAGCCTCTCCAATGCTAACACCAGCCCGTCCTGGGTAACGCTAGCCTATCCATGCTAATAGACAGCAGAGGGCGTGTTTGAACCAGTCAATGACCAGCCGAGGGCTGCTAGTCCCTAGCATACCTATTAGTAGCGCCGGTAAAAGTGCTATTTCTCAGTAAGCAGCGCCAGCCTCTCAGTTACTGGTGCCAGCTTATCATTAATCAGGTCGGTAGTTTGCTTCAGAATTCATATAGCCTCCTGCTGCTGGGCAGTAGTCTTAATTTTGGCCCCCATACCGCGCCATACATTGAGACCAGAACCTCTCACCACAATGACAGTTTCTTCCCCTCTGCTGTTGGACTCATGAATGACATACCTAGGACTGCCCACTCCAGTCGATTGGTTCCAGTCACATGACCCTGTGTTGTGTTAATACCTGAAATTTTCCACTCTGATTAGTACATACACTGTCTTGTATATAGTAGCTGCTTCTCTAATTATTGACACTTTATGTTATTATTTTATCAGAATTATATTCGTACTTCCTATATTTACTTATCTCATGTTTTCTTTATTTTCGCACCAAGTACAGCAGCATTTCATAATGTTGATTCTCACACATATGGCAATAAAACCCTTCTGAATTATTTTTTATTTTGTTCTTGTGAAGCACCTTGTGATTGTTATCGTGAGAGGCACCATACAAATTACTTTCTTCTTCTTCTGCATCTTAGATGTTTTAGAGCTTTTAAAATGCATGTCACGTATGTACAGCCAACATTATTTATTATTTCCTTGGATTTCCAAAGAAAGATTTGATTTATTAATGTTACTCACAGTCTGTCTGTTACCAGCAGTTTTATAATGAACCCTTTAGCCTCCCGGCAAACGTCAGCAAACATGCTCTCTTCAAAAGCCACGTTGTAGTTTCTGATGTTCAGCAGTGAGCTCTGATCATTTTCCCCAGCAAATGGAGAAATTCCTGTCAGACTGATAACAGTTATTTTTATGAGTAAACACGGAAATGGAAAACCGCCCCAAAAGCAAAAACTAAAAAATGACTGTGTACTCACCACAGGTATGCAATCACACCTACAGGCCTGAAAATGAAAACAAAATACTTTAAAATCCATTAAATAAATCACAACAAATATGTGTTAGCTCGTAGAAACTATACCATATGTCTGTTGCTTTTGAAACAGGCGTCTGATTAACTATTTCAGGTGCGACAAACTCTGGTGTGCCATATTTGCAGTACTGAGCCTCGTCAGGCGTGAACTCCACCGCGTTTCCAAAATCACAAATTCTTATTTGATCACTTTGGGGATCTGCCATGAGGATGTTGTCAGGCTGACAAAACAACCAAAACAATGATAAAATACTAATAAAGCTCTGCTGGGAATGTGATTTAGTTTGCATTTTTTAAAAGATCAGAATCTATCAGTGGCCACCTTTATGTCCAGGTGGATGATGTCTGTTTGATGAAGGTAGTCCACTCCCTCTAGTAGCTGTCTTATACATGAACGCACCTGTTGAACAGAGATCATTAAGAAGTTAACATGTTTATATCTGGATGTTCCGTCTTGTATCTTAAAAGTGAATAATAACCATGTATTAGTAAAAATAACTGAAGCACAACAAAAACACATAACTCAAGAGATGGATCAGTGTTTTGTTGACAACACACTGCAAAGAACCAAATTTAAAAAGGATTCTTAAGGATTTTATTAGCAGAATCCTACCACAAAGTTGTAATTCGTGTCAATTCCTTTAGTAGAAAAATCATAAAAGCCAATAAAAACACATTTAAGATGTGGTTCACTGGTTTATTCAATACATTTGTGGTGGTCTTTAGTAGGAATGAACGCCTTGTAAGTTGTACTCGGGCAGAAAAAAGCTCAGATGTGCCTGTTTCAGGAAATACATGGACCCAGTCATGATACTCACTCCTCGCCCTATGGGCCTCAGCGAAGTGCAGTTGAAGGAAGTGTGCCATAAGGCTTTGAGTGTGTAGTGCACAAGTGTGCAAATAATTGCCAAATTGGGACAGTAAGCATTGCATCATCAACTGTGACACATGCCGATTGCTGTTTGTGGTACTTTAAAAATAATCTTTAATAACAATTTTCAAACATCTAGTTGATAAAGTTTGCTTTCATTGTAGTCCACATTAAATCTTAGTCTAAAACATTTAGAACATGCATAAATATTATCAATCTTCTTGAAATAGCCGTAAAAAACTTCAGTTGCCATGTTCACGACAAACTTGGCGTTATGGTGTTGTTCAGCACTGATTGGCTCGGTTACAATTCTCACGGGGTGGGGTTACTTAAATAGGAGAGTTCCCAGACCCTTTCTCTGTGCAGAAATTAACAGATGAGGAGTCTGGCAGGCCAGGCTAGGTAATACCCTTCTCTAGCGGACTTCAGCAAAGATCAAGGGTGCAAAGGGGGCGTGGTCGACTTCTGCACTTGAGAATAGGGAGCCTATGTCACTTCTGCACCATGGGTCCCCGGAAGAATGAAAAAAATGAATGCAAGTCAACGGGGCTAAAAACGCTACTTTCTAACCTGCTTTGCCTTACACCCTGGATCGCACATATGTTGTACTGCAGTTGAAGTGAAAAGTAATGATGGGTGTTTCGACCACGCCAGTCACGCACTTTGAGATTTGTTAGCTTGTAAAAGTTCATAATTAGCATGACTACAAACAAGAAATCGGCACGTCGCACATGTAATGTCTCCACATAATCTCCTCTCCCCTAGCGTAGCTTACCACATGACCAGATTTATGGTGGTTCTTTCCTCCTGTGGGAAGTTTGCTGAACTTACAGCCCTTTTCCCTCAGTTTTCTCCGTGTCTGGTTCGATGACATCACTTTCGTGAAGCGCATTTGTAGTCCTGGACTTGTTTTCACACAAAACCTAAAATAGTGTTTCCCCCGTTCGAAAATAACAGCGTTCTTGGTATTAAAATGTGTCTTTAAACTTCTCGGACATCATATTTGAAATCCATGGCACAAAACAAGCGGAATTAGAAAACAGCGTTTTTATGGAGCTGGGATTGGGGCAATATTCAATGTAACTTGTACCAAGTTTTGTAACTTGGAACATGTTTCATGACATGTAACTTTGGATTCGTAACTTGTAACTTTAGTTTTCTAACTTGTAATTCTCAATTTGTACTTGTGTTTCTTGTTTTGTAACAGGAAATTTTCATTTTGTACATGTATTTTTTATTTTGTAAAATCAAACTTTGATTTTGTACATTTACTACTCATTTTGTAACATCAAACATTCATTCAGAAACATGAAACTTTCGTTTTTTACCAAGCAGACTTCCAAAATAAAAAACTCAATGTACAAGTTTGAAATCAAAACTCTCAAAACACACATTTCATTCTACAGGTAGAAACCTCAAATCTACAGTGTTACAAATAATTTTGTCTCAATTCTAGCTTCGGTGGGAGGAACTTGGGTGGAACCAATGAGAGCACGAGTCTTGGCTACCAATCACGTTTCTCGAATTCCTGTCCAATCATTGGGAGAGGAGGGCAGGGATCTGTCAGAGCTGTAGAGAGAGTTGCGACACTCCAATAGACTCCTATGGAAAGAATGGAATGCGGGAGTCACGTGGTTCATGGAGCTTCCAATAGTTCCAAACAGCCCCCGCTGCTGCATTGAACGTAGTTCATTTTCGGTGTTTCAGAAGGATTTTCTCCGATAAGTTGATGAAATGTCATCATTTTGTTGCATTGTGAAGCGTTAGCTAACCGCTTCGTACCAAAATAAGCCAACGATGATATTTTATGTTGCCAGTATAAGCTAGATAACCTTTAATGAGCTAACTGTGTGCAGCTTGTTGATTGTGAGCAGGAGGACGAGCTGTAGACGGGTTTCTTTCAGTTTGTTTGAGTCTACGTTTTAAAAATATTCCCCACAGTTTGAAATAGGTTATAAACTTTTTACTTTATTAGTTTTATTTGGGAGTTTTGTACAATACGTTGCTGGTTGCTGTATCAACACGAACATGCATCAGAAATGGAAGCACAAATGGAGAGACCAATAACAAAGAAAATGTGATTGTGAAGACAAGTAATTATTTAATATTTTTCAGTTAATAACACTGACTGTAACACACTGCTGAAGCATGAGGCAAACAGGATTATGAACGTAAGAAGATATGTTGTTCTGTTTTGTGGACTCAAGTAATAAGAATAAAATTACGATATTTCAAGAACAGTAGTGGAACAATAACTTTTAAAAATTAGACATTTTCCATAAAACTGCTCATTTCCACTTGCTTTATAATATTAGCATTTGCAATTTTGTTATTTAGGAATGACAAGAAATAAGAATGAACAATAACACAACTATCAATAAATAAATGTCAAAGAGTTACTAAAACAAAAATCGTATTTAACCATTAATGGTTTAACTGTGTCATGTGTCCATCTTCATGTTTTCATCGTGGCTGAGCGGAGAGCTGACCAGAAACAACGGTGGTGGCAAATCCCAGTTGGGTCTGTGATGGAGTTATGCACGCCTGGAGTAATTACCATCTCATCCACAGTAAGCACACACTCTCTTTCCATCTCTGTCAAATTTTTAACCTTCAAACTGAGCATGTCACACACCTCTCCTAACACACCTGGTTCCAGTTAATGGGCTGTATTTGTCTGTGCAGGGTTCGAACATCAGGCAGAGGGATATTCGTGTCCTGAAGAAACCTGCAGCCTGTTGAATCCACTGAAAAACGGAGTTGTGCGGCCTTTTTGATTGTCTGTTTACTCCATTTACCGCCTCTTGTGTTTTTCATGCCTTTTTGATTGTCTGTTTACTCCCTTAGGTTTTCCAGCTGGGTTCCCTGGTTGCAGAGCCTGTTCCTTTCTCCTCCACATTCATGAAGTTTGGTTCTTTAATGTCTTTATTATGGGTTAACAGAGAAAAGTGATCACATTTGCTGGGTCACAAATATACATACAGCAACATGAACTAGCAATTTAGGTGACTTAGAAACGTGTCAGTGAACTGAGCTTCATAGCATGGCCTCTTAACTTCTTGTGAGTGATTATGAGTGACTACAGCTGGTGACTTCTCTTAGGCCAGGTAAATAGGGCTCATCGGATACGAACGCCCACAAACGCTACAATGGGAAAGTCAAAGGAGCTCAGCATGGATCTGAAAAAGCGAATTATTGACTTGAACAAGTCAGGAAAGTCACTTGGGGCCATTTCAAAGCAGCTGCAGGTCCCAAGAGCAACAGTGCAAACAATTGTTTGTAAGTATAAGGTGCATGGCACTGTTTCATCACTGCCAAGATCAGGAAGAAAACGCAAGCTATCACCTGCTGCTGAGAGAAAATTGGTCAGGAGGGTAAAGAGTGAACCAAGAATCACCAAAAAGCAGATCTGCCAAGAATTAGAAGCTGCTGGAACACAGGTGTCATTGTCCACAGTCAAACGTGTTTTGCATCTCCATGGACTGAGAGGCTGCCGTGCAAGAAGGAAGCCCTTGCTCCAAAAGCGGCACCTTAAGGCTCGACTGAAGTTTGCTGCTGATCACATGGACAAAGATAAGACCTTCTGGAGGAAAGTTCTGTGGTCAGACGAAACAAAAATCGAGCTTTTTGGCCACAATGCCCAGCAATATGTTTGGAGGAGAAAAGGTGAGGCCTTTAACCCCAAGAACACCATGCCTACAGTCAAGCATGGTGGTGGGAATATTATGCTGTGGGGCTGTTTTGCTGCCAATGGAACTGGTGCTTTACAGAGAGTAAATGGGATAATGAAGAAGGAGGATTACCTTCACATTGTTCAACATAACCTAAAATCATCAGTACGAAGGTTGGGTCTTGGGCGCAGTTGGGGGTTCCAACAGGACAATGACCCCAAACACACATCAAAAGTGGTAAAGGAATGGCTAAATCAGGCTAGAATAAGGGTTTTAGAATGGCCTTCCCAAAGTCCTGACTTAAACCCCATTGAAAACATGTGGACAGTGCTGAAGAAACAAGTCCATGTCAGAAAGCCATCAAATTTAACTGAACTTCACCAATTCTGTCAAGAGGAGTGGTCAAAGATTCAACCAGAAGCTTGTGGATGGCTACCAAAAGTGCCTGATTGAAGTGAAAATGGCTAAGGGACATGTAACCAAATATTAGCACTGCTGTATGTATATTTGTGACCCAGCAAATGGGATCACTTTTCTCTGTTAACCCATAATAAAGACATTAAAGAACCAAACTTCATGAATGTTTTTTGTGACAAAGAAGTATCTGTTCCAATCACTCTATCAGAGAAAAATCAGAGTTTTAGAAATAACGGGACACTCAGCGGAGCCATTATATTATATTTTTTACAAGTGTATGTAAACCTCTGACCACAACTGTATACATGTGATAGAATCAGATCACCCCAGAAGTCAGTCCCACATCCAGGGCCGTATCAAGGCATTTAGGGACCAAGGCAAATATATGGTTGGAGCCCCCACCACCTCACTCCCTGCCATGGACGTAATTTTCACTTTAGAAGTAGGGGGGACACGGGGTGGGGGGTGGGGGTGTGTGTGTGGGGAGGGGTATCTTTACAGTATGCTCTAATGGGAAACAGGCTTCAACACAAACGGTTGTTTTCCACTTGGTCCTAGAGCTCAACCAGTGTCAATTTAATATAGCGAAATATTGTTTTTGGATGGTAAAAAGTGCAGGGGTCAAAACTTGACTTTGGAAAAAGTGGGGGGGACATGTCCCCCCCCCCCAAAAAAAAAATTACGTCCATTGCTCCCTGCTCAGATGGCCCTATAAGATGGCAGCGTGCTGAGAGTACAGATTGTTGTTGTTTTTATGTAATAAACAATCATTTTAAAACACTGTTATTTTATCTGACTGTTTTTAACAGCAACCCTAGCTCAGACACCACATCACCTTCCACATATATGTCATGAGCTCACTGAGCGTCACATTACCAGATTCATATTGAAGTTGTTTTGGTGAAAGTAACTTAAAGTAATGCAAAAGTAGTGTAATGTCTTACATTTTAAAATCAGTAATATTGTAATGTAATGAAGTACTTTAAAATGAGGGTAACAAGTAATAAATAATGCATTACAGTTTTGAAGTAACTTGCCCAACACTGTCTATAATATATTATAGTAATGTATGTGGTCTAAATGTGTTCTACAGTGGGTTAGGACTGTCGTGTTCCTGTAATGTAGAACAGTCACGGGTGTTTGTCTTCCTACAAATGAATATAATATATAATATTATTCAATAATTACCACAAATCGCCAGGGAAAATTTGATTATATTAAATTTTTGTGATTTGTCGCACCATACACCGTTCAAACTGACTTACGGCGCTGGGATGTTTGGAACTGAGAGCTCCATGAACCACGTGACCGCGAGTTGGCGAGTTCAAAGAGTGTCGTAACTCTCTCTCTCTACAGCTCTGACAGAACCCTGCCCTCCTCTCCTAATGATTGGACAGGAATTCGAGAAACGTGATTGGTAGCCAAGACTCGTGCTCTCATTGGTTCCACCCAAGTTCCTCCCACCGAAGCTAGAATTGAGACAAAATTATTTGTAACACTGTAGATTTGGGGTTTGTACCTGTAGAATGAAATGTGTGTTTTGAGAGTTTTGATTTCAAACTTGTACATTGATTTTTATTTTTTATTTTGGAAGTCTGAAAATGAAAGTTTCATGTTTCAGAATTAAAATTTGATGTTATGAAAACGAGACATACATGTACAAAATGAAAATTTCCTGTTACAAAACAAGACATACAAGTACAAATTGAGAATTACAAGTTAGAAAACTAAAGTTACAAGTTACGAATCCAAAGTTACATGTCATGAAACATGTTCCAAGTTACAAAACTTGGTACAAGTTACATTGAATATTGTCCCAATCCTAGCTCCATAAATTTTTTGCCTCGTTGACTTGCATTCATTTTTTCATTCTTCTGGGGATGCATGATGCGGAAGTGACTTAGGCTCCCTATCGGGACACCCCATACGCACTTGCACCCCTGGAGGGGAATGTGCAGTTGGGGAGCAAAAGGGTGCAAGTTTGAGTATTGGGTCTGGGCCACAGTCAGCTGGAGGAGAAAGCAGCTTCAGACGGGAGGATTTGGTGTCTTATTTCCTGATATGTGGACATCTCGCCTCAGACTGGAGAGCAGATATTTGACTTGCTGACTCGATTTGCTCTGTAACGTTGATGTTTTTATCTCCACAAATAACACAAGCCATTAGACTACTAGTCGACAAGGGCGTCAGTTTGTTTTCAGAATTGCTGGGGACAATAAAGTAGGCTAGCACAGGGGTCGGCAATCCGCGGCTCTGGAGCCGCATGCGGCTCTTCCATCCATCTGATGCGGCTCTCTGTGCTTATAAAATAATGAATGGATATTTAAATAAAAAGCTTTATATTTTACTGCATTAATTTTACATCTGTATGCCAATTCTAAATGTAAAGATTGTCTGCGTAAACCTGAACAGTTCCAACCCGGTCTTACTGTGAGACCGGGTTGACCGGTCACGCTTGTGCGTAATCATATAGGCACTTTATGAGCTGAAGACAATGTGAGATTCTGGGATTCTCCTCAGACGGCTCCTGGATGTGTCGCCACATTGGAGACAGGAACAAGCGCTATTCAGCCAAAGTTTCATAATCAGGGAACATTTTCTAAGTGACAAGTCTCACTGAGAGACCGGGTTTGGAAAACACTCGCTTCAGTGGGAGGAATCTTCCCGCATGCGCTCTGGTTCTCTGGGTGGCTCTGGGGTTAATCAAGTTTAATTGTTTCTCTTTGCAACAATCTTCACAGGAAGGCAAAACAGTTAAACGGCAGGTTACATATATTTCCATTTAACTGTTTATTTTGACAGATGAACTCAAGGATGTTGCTTGGTTTGAAAGAATTACCCCGACGCACACTGATGCGCATGGATGAGCTGACATTTTAATCGTTAACGCACATCGCGGAGGTAAAATATTCCCATCAGAACATCAGAGCTTTATACTGGACACTGTGTTCAGCGCGGCTCGGAGCGCCCACGGTAGACAGTGAGCTGAAGATCTGGGGTTTGCAGCGCAGCGCAGAACCACGGCGCATGCGATAAGATTTCCTCCCACTGAAGCGTTCTGGAAACCCGGTCTCTCTGAGGGATGTGTCACTTGGAAAAATGTTCTTTTTATGAAATTATGAAACTTTGGCTGAACAGCGCTTGTTCCCGTCTCTAATATGGAGACGCATGACGCATCCAGTCTGAGGCAGAGTAGCCTCTTCAGCTCAGAAAGCACCTGTAGAGACATTTGATCACGCACAAAGTTTATGTGGAGCAGAAGCGGTCGGGCCACGGCAGGTGAAACGTTCCTAGCCTACATGAAGTGAAACTGTTTAACTGTAACATTAATGTGTTACTGGACACGCTGGTCTGGTTGGTTAGACCAGTGTTTGAAGTGGAAAACACACACACACACACACACCAATTAAAATAATGCTGATAGCGTGGACTAGAAGACAGGTGATGGTTTACGTATTTAAATGATGATCAGGCTGCTGTAAAATGTAATCTCCATCCACATCCAGACACAATTATCCTCTATTCTTTCTCTAGTTGCTCTGCTCTTGTCTGGGCTGACGTAGCTGACGGTGCACGCGGCGCGCCTAACTAGCGGCTGATGCACATTTTACGCATTTGGAGAGGTGGACTGGATGCTTTGCTTTTACTGGAAGATGGTCCACTTAACACACGGGTGTAGACTACATATTACTGACAAATGAATGAAAATTAAATTGTGAGTTTTTACTTCATATTTTGTAATAAAAATGACGGGGGAACACATTTATGACGCCTTTTTAAACTAAATTTTCTAGCGCGACCTGCCTGCTTCACTTAAGTCACTGCTTATTAAGGTCCATCCAGAATTACTGTGGGAAACGGGTAATAATGGCTCTTTGATGGGAACAGGTTGCCGACCCCTGGTATAAGATCTGAGCTGGTAAAACAAAAATCCTCATCAGCAGGCGTTTTTGAAAGTGGGGGGACACAGCTGCCAATCACAAATTTTGCCGGGGACATGTCCCCAGCGTCCCCGGTTAAAATTACGCCTATGCTAGTCGAGACGTTCTCTGCTGTTTCCTGAATGCTAAACAACAGCCTTCCCCGTCACGAGTCAAGATGGGTGAGTCCACGAATGTTAAGAGACAGTGTGACATAGATCTGTCAGGATTTTCTAATCCTAGAGTTTCATCATCTATTCTTTCAGAAGCTAATGCAGGAGGTAGATGTAGGAGACTATTCATGTTCAGCCTGCATGAAAAACTCAGAGTGACCCATTATAATCAGAAACAAAGATTAAAATGGTTGTTCACCTTTAAATAAGTAAGATCCTGTACAATATCACCACAAAAATCATCAAAATGCATTCATCAGGTTTTACATCGAATTTGCTAAGTTTACTTACATCAGACTCCATTACTGTAGCTCTCCTTGTAAATCTGTCCAACAGCTCCTCCTGGCATCTTTACGACTAATTAAGGCTTTTGGTTGTTTTTTTTTTATGTTGAACCCAAATTAAAGATTAGATTAAATGAATTCATATAATGTCAGAATTCTTCGTTACTGACTTCCTTTTGCTTATTCATAAGGATACAGTTCAGTGATGATGATGACTGTGTTCTTCTTCTCAAAGGCATCGTGAAAGTAAAGGATTCTCTCGTGGTCCAGCCTGGACAGAAGGTTCATCTCTCTACGGGCAGATAACTTCCTCTTTGCCCGAGTGGAGATGAATTTGGCTGCATATTCGACTTTTTTCACCTTCTGTGTCACACGTTTTATGTAAGAAAATGTCCCCCTGCATAACGAATAAATACATTTTTTAAGGAAAGCAACTCCATTTATATGTCGATATTGTGGCATCACACATTTTTTACTTTACCTCCCAATTTCTTTGTGGATGTCATAGTAGTCGGTCAGTCGGCGCATTTTCCTCATGATAGTCTGCTCGTCATCCATCGGCTCCTCTTTACTCTTAGCTGTAGCAATGGACAGGTATTGGTCAGGCAACATAACTGAAACAACTTCTCTGGGAGAAATTAGAGATTTTTTTTAGTCTAAATTGTCACCTTCGTGAACAGTAAGCTCGGCTTTACAGGAAACAGAACCCGCCAGGTTCCGAGCGGTGCATGTGTACACCCCGGAGTCCTCAGGGTGAGCGTTCAGGACAACCAGGGAACATTCATTATCATCGTATACAAACGTGTAATGACTGCTCTCCGACAACAGGATGTCACCCTGAAACACATGGGAGGAATGTTTTAACGTTTCTCTTTCCAATCCTTCTTTAAATTTCATTCTCCACTTTCATTTGTTTATGTCAATCAATCTGTTTTACAAATAAAATTGATTTATACACAAACACAAAACTCAAATAAGGTTTAATAGAACCACTTTTTTGTGATGAATAAAAAGTAAGCAAGATAAATAAAAATTTGAAGCTGTCTAATATTTTCTTAACTTTGTAACTTCCACAGCAGTGAAAAAAATCCTTTTTTTTTGGCAAAATAGGTAAATGCAGCTTATAAAATATTGTAAATAATAATATGTCATGGTAATGTAATATGATATAGAATTCAAATATTCTTAATTTCTTTAAAAATTTTTAGTTTTATTTGAGTTTATTTAGTTGCTTGTTTTAATAAGATATATATGGACTAAAATATACGTAATCGTTCTTGCTTTTAAATAAATCGTTCTTGCTTTTATAAACATTCTCCACAAATGAAACTTAAATGCTTCATAATTTGTAAATGATGTATTCTTCATAATAATCATAATTATTTCTTTAGTTGATAGTCTTGTGATTTTTTACAAGGTTTTTCAAATTGATGTTTAGAACATTAATTTATTACCCCGAGACTATTTGGGTCATTGTTTTCTTGCACTGAAAATGTTATGGAAATTTTGTATTTCATTGCTTTAAACCTGTTAACAAATGTCCTGAAGCATTCTGACACTCAGACACACCCACCCACTGTTCTTCTCCTACACTCATACACACACCGACTCTCTCCTCTCACAATGACCTCACACTCCCATCTTTATCTCTGTTTAAATCAACTCTGTGATCAGATGTTCGGGGCATTTTGCCTTGTGCATGTGCCACAGTTATAACTGTTTGACCTGTCTGCTCAGTGTCTCTTTCTCTCTTCACTACAGGAAATGGGTTAATTGATAAACATATTGATAAAATCCATGACAGAAATTCTCAGATCTGTTATTACATTTTGAAAGGAGCAATATGGAAGGATTTTCTACACAGTTCCTGACAAAAGTCTTGTCGCTTGTGTACAAATAGACCTGAAGTGCCACCAAAAAATATTCTAATGCAGATTTTGTTTCCAGAAATAGTTCCTTTTACATCAAACAGCTTTTGTAATAATGTTTCAATGCAAAACAAAACTAACAAAAAGTCTTCTAATATTCACGGCTTGGTAAAGCTCGGTGAGTCCATTTTTGCCAAGAAAAAAGTGTTGTCGCCTTGTCATATGAGCTTCACCTGTGACTAATAATGGATCACTTAGGTGTCAGGTGTGTATAAAAAGAACCCCAGTACACTAGACCTTCACACCAACTGCAACTAGACCTCTGCAAACATGCCTAAGATTCACCCTGAGACTAAAGACGCTGAAGACCAAATCCACCGCCGATGTGGCACGCACCTTCACTGTGTTTCAGTGTCAAGTTCAGAGGAGAAAGACAATATTTGAAGAGACTGGAGAAGTTTTTGACGAGCCCAGTCAGGCAGACCCCGCAAGAGGACCATTTGTTGGCTTGAAAAGTCCAAGGCAAGCCCATTTTCAACTGCAGCAGAGCTCCAGCAGACCTGGTCACCTGAAATCCCCGTGTCAACCACAACAGTTTGTCGTATTCTGTCTCGAAATGAACTTCATGGTCGAATCCGTGCCCATAAGCCGGCACTAACCAAAAGACATTATGCCTGAAAGCATACTCACACTCAGACACACACACACACACACACACACACACACACACACACACCTCTGTTCTTTTCTGATCTCATGTTATAAAATAAACTGGCAGTGCAGAACTCGGGGCAGTTGCCTCGTGCTCTGCCACAGATTGCAGTTTGGTTTACGTGTCTGCTTCCAGGACTCTAGAAGTCAAAGCCACTCACCATTTATTTCTTAAAGGTCAAAGACTACTACTCGAACCATGGGTCAAGTCCATCTCTAACCTTGAAACTCTCCTAACAATGATCCTAACATACGAATCTCCTCATTTATGATAGAGGTTTACCTAAACTCTGGTTTCGTGTTCACGACTTCAGTAACGTCTAATATATGATCAGTTACTTCTATATGAAGACGTTAAATTAACTGAATAGTTGAAGAATCTAGTTCTTTAAAGTTATGAAACGTATCTCTACCTTGTGTTAATAAGTCTATCTCTGCTCTCAGTTACTGGTTATGTAATTAATATTTAACTCCTTCCTAGTAGACAAATGATTATTTGCTGTCGTTTTTGCTCAGTTTTTATTCTGCCTCTACTTTAGAGTAAATCAGCTCTCACTTTCTCATCTCCTTCTTTATTCAACGAAGGGAGCAGCCCTTGCCCTTGGCTCATCATTGTTTTTGTTTTTATTATTTGCTAGACGAGCATTGTCAGGTGAATTTTGTCCTACGAGACAGTTAAATGTGTTCAGTAGCATGTATTTTACACTATGGTCCAGCAAATGTTCTTTGATGGTCACATTATTTTAAGAATAACCTAATTACATATGCATCTAGTAGTTGTTAAGTCTGTCAGTCATTTACTTCTTGCTGTTTTCTGAATATAAATACTTTAGTTGTTCATTATCACGCTCAGGTTGTATTCCTTTGCTTGACCTTTAAACTAATTAGGACTCTTCCTCAGTATAACTTTGCTTCCTGAAGTATGACCATTTTAGACAACCTACTTTTTTACAAATTACACCTCCTGCTTAGACCCTCTTCTCATGGGGAAAAGTATTATGGTTTCTAACACGTTTAGGGTTGTGTGTACCGGAGATCACCATCAGTTGTGTTGCACGTTCATTGTTTCCATGTGACAAATTAGTTTTATTCTCCTTAAATAAATATGCTGTTCAGTTTCACTTACGGAGTTTTAATTTAGTAGTATTTATCTCCTGTTGTGAAGTTAAAATTTTTATTTTATAATTAGGACTGGTTCGTTCCAGTGTTGGAAGCAACCAAATAAAATAAAATAAAAAGTCACTTGGTCTTGGACATATTCCCTAATTTAGCTCTGATGATGTAAATAAAGGTGAACGTTTCTGGCATAAGGAGAACAGAAGGCATGGAGCCCATGCCATTGTGATTTTGTGAGCTTGTGGATGCTTGACGAGCTCCCTTTTCCCCAGATGGCTTGATTCTTTTTTGATTTTGTTAGATTAAAATCTTCTACAACAATTTCTCCTGTTACTTATGGGATATGTGAATCACTTTTTGTGTTTATTTTAAATTTTTTTTACTGATTAAGGCATTTTTGTTAGTTTGGTTGGTTGATGCACACTATGCTGCACGACTCTGCTCCCTGCTGATGTAAACTTGTAATTGCAAGTTCCTTGGGATGGGTGTTTTTGAGGAGATATGTTATGTAAGATCCAACTTTCGCATCGGTTTGACGCGATGCCTTGCTTGCCGGTATCAGACCTGTTTTGTCTATATCCTTGTATGCCTCCTGGTGAGCCACGAGTTATCTCATGTCTCAAGAGGAGGGACGGCTGATAACGATTTTCCTACACAAACTCTCACATTATTGTGAGAATGAAATGGACCCCACATAGAAGAATGATGCGTTAACAAGTAGCAAGGTGCTATGCGCTCACCTGTGTGCCTCTGTTGTAAGATAATTAAATAGAACACACTTGTGAATGAGGTAAGGGCTGGTGTTTGCGACCTTGAATTTGAGCTGAACGAACCTTTGTTGGTACAACTGTGGATGAGAATAGCTGGAGTCCAGAGTGACAGAGAAAATACTTTAAATATTGGATGATAAGAATTTTTGATGAAAACAAATCAAAATCAACAGTGATCTCCCAGAATGTTCTTGTGCTTTTTCGCCCACAGGTTGTGAAACCAGGAAATTGGGTTCTGATGAAGGTGCTGAAACAAGACAGTTGGGGCAGCCAGAGGTGAGAAGGTCCATTCCAAGTACTCCTCACCACTCCTACTGCTGTGAAGATTGCTGAGAGGCCATCTTGGACACATCTATCCCACCGCAAGCTCATCAATGTCAACTGACCGCTACTAGAGCGACAACAAAGTCGGCTGCAAAGGGGTGGGTGACCTTTAGGGTCCCACGTCTCAAACCGTTGAAGATGAAGATCTGCTTCAAGCTTGCTGGGTTCACCACATTGTTGATGTTGGTGCTCGCGTTCATGGCCCTGCCCTTGGGCCGCCTCTCAGCACCTGACGGAACAACTGGGACAGCAGCATCTGATGGGGATACTGGATCTGGAACTGGAACGATGGATTGGGGCTCCTCCCTGACCACACATCTACATGACAACATAATTGCACCCACCTCGGCTGAAGACCCCCTGGACGCAACTACAACCGGACACAGCGACGAAGAGACGCTGGAAAATGATAACTGCTTCAATCAGCTGCACCCAAACTCCAACCTGGTTTCACGGTCAAAGGATCAGAAGGGCTTTCGGGGACAATATCAGCTCTCTGACAATTGGACCACCGCCTCAACACGCCATGGAAGGACCCCGACGTCTTCCTATTGAGAAGTTGAACTGTGCGCTCTCACATCCCGAACTCCATTCTTGCATTCCAGACCTGGACTTCAAGGGACTCATCAACGGGAGACTGAAACCATCCTG